CCCCAATAATAAAAGGATTTTATAGCGATTTAGTTAGAACGCAGGCTCTGTGCAACTATACAGCTCGTCTCAACTAATACATTCCATACATTTTAATTTTTTTGCATTGTTTTTCGAACAAACATAGGATAAGCTTCTGGCATACTTTCATGTGGTTTTTTAAACATGAATAAGACTTAATTGCTTTTTGAAACAACCCAATTCAATTAAATTCTATTACGTTCTCGTCCCCAAATGCATTAGGCGATTGCGAAGAATGCTATCCTGTGTCCAATTTTTCGGACACAAATTCAATTGGACAGATACCTGGCCAGTCGTAGTTTATCAAATCCACCTCTATAGACGGTAAAATCATTGCGCTGAAGCTACAATATAAATTATTCGCTTTAATTAACCTCAGGTGCCTCTCGTTTTTATCAAACTTTCATCGCTTCTTCGTTCTTCGGGGGGCGTTTGTCGGGGCCATCGCGATTTCAAACGCAACAATAACTCATCGAGCTCTTAAAAATTTCCTCCAACTCATTTAATTTTCTAGAAGTGCCGTCTACGCCCTCTACCTCAACGCTCAAACAGCAGGTGGCCTCCGTTATCGGAAATCGTTTTATCCCGTTGTTGATGCCGTGCTTTTCCCGCACGCCCGGAGTCCCGTAGGAGAATTCCAGAACGCGCGGAAAAACTTGAGCTCTGGATAATAGATGGCGCAAAATGTTCCGAATGTTTAGAGCAAAAAAGAAATTCAAGAGCAGTTTCGTAGGAAAATGCTCTCTTGAAACTTTGTTGAGTTTGTAGGCGAAGTAATGTTTACGGAATGCCGAAAGTTGCAAACATTAAAATCGCTTTAATAAATATGTCCTAGTCGGAAACAATCTTTCAGAGCTTACCAACGTGAATTGATTACTGGTGCATTCAAATAAGACTTATTTAAAAAAGTGGCGCTTTACATGCTTATACTACGCGATTTTGTCTAATTCTTAATATCGCCTTAACATTTTTTAAATTCATTTTTCTTGAAGCAGTTGACCCAGGGTTATGAATGGCGATCATCAAATCGATTATCCTCATTTTATATTAATTTTTTATATTAACACAAATTTATACAGCTCTCGAAAATATTATCTGAATTAGTTGATACGTAGTTAAGTTCTATATTGTTGAGGCGGATTCATATTTTCACCACCTGTTTGTTGCGTATTTGGTCTAAAAAAAAATTTGTCTTTAAAAAAAACAGAATTTCCTCACGTCTTTTAGTACAGATTGATAAATAGTGCTCTTATCTCGCAATAACTACGAATTATTTATCAAAAGGTAATCAAGAATTATCACCTAGAGGGGGGTATCCGGCGACCCATTTAGGCTCAAGCTGTGAGAGAAAATTCCAATTAGTAAAGAAATAATTTTTTAAATTGCCTTGACGTTTCGATATCTATTTTCTGCTATCGTTTTCAAATGAACCTAAAAAAGGGTATGTTAATCAATTGTGTAACAATAGTAGAACAATACAGTATGTAAAAAATCGCTGGAATAATTCGTTTTTTACAAATTGTCAACTATTTCACTTTGAAATAATCTCATTATGTAAACCAATAAATGTAATATTAATTAATAATTTTGGTGTATATTCAATTTTGGTACTTGTTTCTCTGGTTTACTTCAGATTTTAGAACAGATAATCAAGTATGACTTAAATTAAATGAACATGAGGCAAAACGACAGGTTGTCGAGACGTTGTCGTTCTGGAATAAATGGAATAAAAAGGTCTGTACTAGGTTTATTTTGATGTTGTTTTGCTTGTGGAAATTCAATTTCACTAAAACATTTTTCAATCAACCTTTTAATAATATTTTTTTACCATTATCGGGTGATTTGAGTTAAAATTCAAATACCGTCTAGGATGAGTAGGATTCCTATAACCCAAGGTTTTGAAACTGTAAAATTTTTTTTTAAATTAGTATATCGAGAAAAGGAATTTGTAAATTTTGCTCTTTTTCAATAGTGAATTTAACTGTTGGTTCTTTATTGCTCAGATAAAATACAAATTCATCAATCTTTACACAGCATACATCATCAATGCGCCACCAAATCATTGGTTTAAATTTGTAATTATTTATGAAAGTTGATTCAAAATCTTCCATAATAAATTACTGAAAAAGATGACAGGGCGACCCCATAGCCATTCCAAAGTTTTGTTGATAAAAATTATCATTGTATTGAAAATAAATTGACTTTACAAATATTGTTAAAAGTTCAATAATGGTGTTAATGCTTAGTTATGTGCGTTCCTCAAGAATGACATTATTTTCTAATTTTTTCTTGATAATATTTACAGTTTTGTCAACAGGAACGTTAGTGAATAGATGAACAACGTCAAAACTTACCAGAATATGGGTTGGATTTATTTATTAAAGGATTTAAAATGTTTAAAATATATTTAGCTAAAGAATGTGTAGGTGAATTTATACTACAAACTACTGGTCGTAAAAGAATATTAACTTTATTCATTTTTGGAACTCCGCAAAAAAGTGGGTTTTTTTTCTATTGTGTGGCCGTGATTTCTTTATTTTTTACTAGTTGGTGCATAAGTTCCCAAAAACTAGCTACTTATTTGTACCTGCGTTTTCTAGAACATCAATATCAAAGAAGAGAAAACGGTTGCGTTTCCGAAACGATTTTGATTTCAATTTGATCAAAACTGATATATTCAAACCGAACGGCATATTTTATTTATATGCCAAGTGACATGAAATAAACTAAGTAAAATAAATTTAACCCAACCTGAATTTTTTATCGCCGTACACAGACAAGTATCAGAAAACAAACTTTTAATAATTTAAAAATTCGTTTTGTTCTACGTTGGCGCTATATCACGTCGAAACACGAATTGAAGCAAACTAAATATTTACACTCGTTTCGACCGAAACTTTTGCGATTCTGTCTTCCATGGTGTAGTAAACATTTCATGTTTTAATTTCCCAAACTCGAGAAAGTTGGTGGAGAACTTTTTTAAACAACTCGACCAGAAAACAAACTACCACCGTATTTTTTGATGAAGCTTTCGTTTCTTTCGGAGAAAGTTTCTCGCAGGGTTTACTATGTGTTACCGACTTTCCAAAAAAATACTGTTATGAGAAAAGAATGTTTAGGCGAACAAGATTATTTGGCAATTCCTACTAATGCTGCCTACGACCTTTCAATTGGTGGAAATCTCTCTCATTTTCAATAAGAAAGTTCTAATGATTGAAATGAAACCTAAATAATGTAAATACATGAGCGCTAAGCTAGTGTTGAGCGAAGTGATTAACAGTTAATACCTTCAAACCGCTATATTAATTTTTGAGAAAATCTTGCTTTAAAATTCTTCCTTTGTTATCAGAGTAGCACTGAAAAATTGCTGATTTCAAGTTTGTCTTTTAGATCATCTATTACTAGAATAATGAAAAAATTCAATTCAATTTTAATAGATAATATTGTGTCGAGTATAATTCACATAAGTGGAAAAATCTCCGGCGCCTTTTCCCCCAGAATATCTTGGCAATTGTTTTCAGGATCTCAAAGATTTGCATGCGTACAAAATTTCAGAATTTTATCTAATTGATGAGGAAAAATTAATTAACATTGATTTCGCAGGCATATTAGACACATATTGCATTAAGGTTATCTTCATAATCTTAATTTTGTAATATGGGCAGCTTTTGAAAATGTGAAAAAAACCGACTCAGTTGTTCTTATGCACACTTTGGAGATTATTTAACAGGACCAGATTATTTAAGCCGGACGGTAAACATCAAGCTCTTTTCATTAAGTTCGAGCTTACACTTTCAAGTTATGGAGAAGCGTCTTTAGATAATGGGACAAACTACTATTATATAGTTTGGAACGAGAAAGCGCAAAGTCCGTATAAAATTGCAACTGAACTCGCCTCCCTCATCCATCTGAATACATTAAAAAATTTAACGTGGATTTTTAAGGGCATTAAAACCGTATCCGCTTTAGCCGACTTAAGCCTGAAAACCGAATTACCACTATAGTAATAAGAAAAGTTACAAGTGATTTGATTATTCAAGCGGGGGCGTGCGTTGTAATGCAGTTTACTTTACTCTTGGGAAATTAACGCGTTTGAAAAGTATCATAGAAGCAGCCCGCGGGTTTTAATCGATGTTCGCTTTCATCTATGACTAGTTGACGTACAAAACAGCTCTAATCGTAAACACTACATGTAAATTTCATTAGGATTTGATCGAATCACTTCACGCGACAAAGCTTTCGCTTAAAAGCTTTTGGTGGCAAGCGCGTAGCTCGCTGCGTCTGCATCTACAAGACGAACAAGCATTACCAACTGGTAACCGATCGCACACAATTATTTCGCAAGTTTCCACATACTGAAAACTTGTAAAATACCCAGCATATTGCCGCTGTGTTAAAGCGCCATTTAAGCTCCAGATAGACCCAATTAAATATTTGAACAAGTCGTTTCCTAGACTATTAGTTTCGTTACGCCAAACCGGACCTTTTCTAGACAAGATAAATCGTCGGTTGGAATGTTGTGTAGGCTGACAGGGGGAAATTGCTGTTTCAGATGATGAACAGAGATAAAAATGCCCTTTCTCACCCACCTAATGCTGACAAGTTGTGCCTAGAATCCGATAAGCTATAATTAATGTGAAAACAATCTATTGGGAAAAAGCGAAAACTTAGGGTCTGCTTGGGGTCTTGAATAGCGTTCGGGATTTGATATTAGTTATGGATCGATCAGTGTATACAGCGTTTGGAGTCAATAGTTTAGATGTTTTAGATTGTATCATCGTCTTTAATATATCTGGCAAAATACTTACTCTAAGTTAAAGTCCTATTTTATTAGAATTATGTATCGGTTTATACAATAAATATATAAACAGCTGCATGATAAATTAAAAACTGGTTGAATGTTGTTTTTACTTGAATATTACAAATCAACGCATGAAAAATAAGTGCCCACGTACTTACCAACGTATTTTCATTTGCAGGACACAGTATGGCCTCAGATAACCGGCACACCTCAAAGGGAAGACTCATACTGTCGATTTTTTGTCTCCAAGCAATCTTTTTCCAGTTTACCATTGGTAAGTCAATGTCCAGCTGCAACAATAAAAAATCAATAAAACAGTCTGAAGGTTCAATTTTTGGATTTTATCAAAGCATTTAACCAGAATAGGAAAACGTCTAGAATTTTATTTTATCGCATTTTTAAATAGAATTTTCAGCCATTGAAAATTACATCACCTAACTTAACTAATCAAGAAAGGCAGTTACTAACTAAAAAACTTCGATTACGTTATAGCGTGTGAGCCGGTTATTTTTAGTTGTAATTCTATTCATGATTAAACTATCAGACTAATTCTGATTGTTTTCGCTTGATAATTTTATCTTTTCGCTTTCAATTTTGAAACCGGATTTTGAATGATTGGTTTGCGTGACCTAAACATACGAACGAATAAGTCTCAACTTGTTTTTCAACCTTTTTCGAATATATTTTTTTCATTTTCAAGCAGAAGTTTTTATTGTCATGTTACACATAAAGTGTATGGTTTCAGTGGAATCATGAAAAGACTCTGAATGTACATTCAGTGTGAATGTTGCAACTATTATCATGCGTTTCAACATAGATAGATAGAGATATGTTTATACAAAAGCGAGCCTACGAAAATGTTTAGAAAAATTAACTATAGACTCTGATATTAACTCAGATGAAAATCAATTTTGCAGACTCCCGGATAAATTTTTGGTGTTTTATTACACATTCACTTTTTTATACTTTTGATATTTATTTTCACACTTTTGATTAAAGCACTACAGATAGGCAAAGCGACAATTTCTATTTCATTTATATTTAAAGCCATTATTAAATCACCGCCTTCCCATTTCTGTAGTTCTGTACGTTTCGTTAGTTTCTCTTCTCATCAAGTTCAACAACCACATATTTTTATCTTCATCAGCCAATTCCGGGCAAAGCAAAGTAAATGTAACAGTGACTTTACCAGATTTATATAATATGAAGTGTTTTAGTTTTCAAGAAAAGCTGTTTCATCTCTGTTATTGGCAATAAAAATAAAAACACACACTTTCACACTTACAGAGGAAGAACTGAAATAATTTCCGCTTAAAGTTCGATAAACGCATTCCTAAATCGCCTTTATCAATGAAGAGATTTTCCTTTCGGCTGAAAAACTCTGGTTGGATATTCTAATCTAAAGCAAAAAATCTAGCACCTTATGCTACCTCTAGCAGTGTTGTAAGGATAATATTTCGCGTATGCTGTGTAAATTTAGCTCCACAGCTATTAGCATAAGGTTAAAAAGGTTAACCTTTCCACGAGATACAGAAGTTACACTTTTCGCTTATTTAGATTCAGTTTTCTGCAAACGATTCAGTTTTGAGCAAATTGGGGTTTTCAAAATGGGTTTCTCTATTCCCTAGGGCGTCCTCTACATCTCTATATCTTTTTTGAAAATGATTTTAAATCTATAGACTCTGTAACCTCAGGGTCAATATGTGAAAGTTGTAAATTTTAAATTATAAAGAAGTTGGCTAACGGAGGAAAAGTTTCAAAAACTAGTAAAATTATGCTTTGAGAGTCCTGATAGGAATTTTCCACTACGGATAACTATAAAAAAAGCCACATTTTTAGCTTTCATATTATTTTTCGCTTCACTATCAACGCTGGAACAAAACCGGCTAAACTTTCTGGTGGCAAGCTACTTTAAGTCGGCAAGAAAACCACATTATCAGTTTTATCGTTCGATGTTTCGTTTCCTTTCCAACTAACCACCATCACCTTCAATTATTTGAGTACGGTCCGCTTTGTTTATTAGCGAAATCGAATAGCTATTTTGGTTCCCAATTCAACTATCTATTTTTTAACTTTTTCAAATAAATCTTAATAAAATTGTCAACTCGGTGCTCTATTTTATGGGATATTTTAGACGCTGGTACTTGTACAGTGTAGAATATGAATTAAAATTCAATTTAACTACGAAAATTATTTAACATTGACTGAATTCTCTGATGTCTTGCCTACTTGAGAATACCAACATAATACTTTAACTAACACAAAACTTTAAGACTAGAACAGATGCAACAAATATTCCAACAAAAAAATAACTGTATTAAGTAATAATTATGGAAACAGCGGCCGCAAAATCAATCGTTCACAATCTCCTAGATATTAAGTTAAAAGCTTATCAAATGAAAAATCCATGGAATTAATTGTAAAATCCAGAATAAAGCGATTTTAGCATTTCTCATACACAGGACAGGATTTAAGTAAAATAAGTTGATGGTGGTTCTTGTCCAGCGCTGATGTTAACACAAAAATAATAGTAAATAAATTATCAGGCTTCTATTTTATTTAAATGAATCAGAGACTAAACTTTGCAATTACTCTCTAATTATTCAGTTTTTTCCCGTTTAACTAAATTCTTGTTCAACTAACCGTATCATTTATGTATTTCGATTTTCCCATAGTCGCTCCTCTTACGTTAGGCACTCCACCCATTAAAATAATGGTTATTTAAATGGAACACCCTGTATCAAAGTGCCCCAATTGGTTCTCATACAAATAAGGATAATTTTGATACACGGATTATTGAGACTGTGGTTAATAGGTTACCGTTTTAGCTCTTGACATGAAAGCAAGAATAAGGCCAAATATTTTAAAATTATTTAAATTACAATATTAAATAACAATTAATTGATTAACAAAGTAAATAATAACCAATTAATTGATTAGCAAAGCCATCAAGATGAAAATTGGACTCGTCACAAAAGATGATTTCCGTTGAAAAATCACCGTCCAATTGTCGCTGTTCTAACATACAATCAACAAAGTATAGGCGTTGCCTATAATTGTCTTCCGGCTTTAGCTCTTGAGCCAATTCAACTTTGTACACATGAGGATTTAAATCTTTTGTTAAAATTCTAGCATAGTGGTTGTAGAAACACCAATTTTCTGAGCTCTATGCCGAATTGATGTGGTTGGGCTATCCTCAACATTTTAATGTACTGCTGCGATATTTTCAATCGAGCGACCAGGACAAACGAGTGATTCTGTTTTCACTTCATCATAAAAATTTATAATTTAAATTCCGTCTAAACAAGCGTTTGAACTTGTTACTTCCTGACTTCATCAAGCAAATTCTCAAATGAGCCTCTAGTACTACTAGTATACACGGTTCAAATAAGTAACGGATTCATGTTCACTAGACATTTTCAAGCCTGACTTGAAAACACTAAGACCAATCGCAATGTCACAATTTCAAATATCCACTGGAGATTCTCAGGACGAGGACATTTACATGTGAGTTGTTCCGTTCCGGTGTAACAGTAGAAGCCGGCAGGAACGCCCAGTAAGCAGTGCTAATAGTGTTTGAATGCCCTGTAAACACTGTTACGTCACAGTGATTCCTCGGCTTTTCCAGAGTGCTCCTATAGTAGGCGCTAGGGGTTTTCCCTAATCAATATTTCATCTCGGAGGTTCGGCGCGCGCTCAATCCACAACGCCGTCTCACCGGACCGGGACTCCAGTTCTTCGCTCCCTATTCCGAAATAGACATGTTAGCTGCTGTTTAAATGTATCAGTTCGCGACGCTTTCTTTTCATCTGGATTCTCCCATTGGTAACCTGTGGTAGAGCCCCCTAAAAACATAGTGCTTCTCGATTAAACCCCGGTGTTTGAATGTGAGCAAATCGAATGGATACCAACGCTATTATTTGACTGTATATACATAACACGGTTTTTTTAATATCATTATATCAGTTTTTGTCTACATCTACGTCCCAATGACGGACAGAGAATGGCAGTTGAATTAGCGATAGCGGCGGATGAGCTCGAGACTTGTAGAAGCAAGCTTTAACTGGCAAATATTGCACAGTGCTATCGAACAACTGGTCACTGTTACCATACCGGAACTGAGCCGATCTGAAACTTTTGGCTGCTGAGTATTGAGAAGCAGATGATTGAACTGGCACGAAGACAAAAATCAACTCGTGCACCTTATTACGTAAGAATGGAACCATTTTTATTCAGCATCGAAGCATGCTGACTGCCTCGACCAGTCAACGTTTCAGTGTCGTGAATCCAGACAACTCACATTTAACCTTCAAACTCTGGTCCAGCTCTTTTCCAAGATGGTGGCCGTAGCTGTCTGCTGCATTTTAGTGTTCCTAGCCGTTTTTATAATCATTATCATCGTCGTGGGGCAAAGTGTAGGAGATCAGCATCCGGAAGACTAGAGCGACAGGCGTTAGGCTCCCAAAATCGAACATTTCACTACAGTAAGTTTCCAGCATATGGTAGAGTGCTGCTAATAATGTATAATGAACACTGTCAATTAAAATGCCTCCACGATCTAAGGATAGCATAGAATCAGGAAATTCTCTATCGATGGCCGAAAAGGTCATCATTCTGGTCCCAGCCATAGTCTTCCTGCTTCTAATAATATTCCTAGTAAATATAATTTTAGACATAATGTATGAGTGACTAGCAATTGAACCTCAGTTTACCTGAAGCTCATATCAAGAATCGCAACTCCAAAGTCTCTGGGCAACTAGTAAATCAGAAAATGGAGGTTAAATAATTGAAGACTGACTTGAAGAACAAAGTACTGAGCGTACTTTGAAAAATCTAGCGCTTTCCTGTCAACCTGAAAGACTCTTCAAAGTACTTCTACTAAGAAAATGAAGCTTCTGGACACGCTCACTTCTCTTTCTTCTGGCAAATCTTCTTTTCCTGCACGAAATGCTTCTAGTGGCGGTGTGTTGTATATTCATTTTCTTAGCTGCTTTCATCATAAGCATAATTGTCATCGGACAGCACAATGGAGGATCTAGCAATAGTGTCCAATCAACACATTAGACTTGCTTAGCAATAGTTGAAATCCCACTAATAGACTAGTTCTTGTGCGTGACTAATCTATAATCTTGTAGACGTAAGTTGCAAATGGAAATAGATATTCCAAGTTCTCAAAATATTAACGTATTTGTCAACTAGCTACTATGTACTCGACTGTTGGATCAGAAGAATCTTTCCATTTAAAAAGTTGACACTAAAAGCACATCTTTTGTG